ATGATTGTAAAATCATAAAATAAATAGAACATTTGTCGTTTTGTCGTGAATAACATATTTTATTTCATCTCTAAGCAAGAAAACGTTTATATTTTCACTCATGCTACGCATTCGTGAAAATATAAGTTTTCTTGCTTCTCGATGAAATAAAATATGTTATTCACTCTAAAACGACAAATATCCTCTATATATTATTATAATCCAAATAGTGTGTATATGCTAAACACAGAGTGCTCAATGAATAAATCCAGAGCAAATATAAATAATTAAAAATATGAAATCTTTTAAGTTCTTGTTTTGTTGTATACTGTTGACGTCACGCACGCCAACCGTTACCATGCCTCGTGTAATCAAACTTCATTTGTATTTTTCTTCTGATGAGTGTGGAGCACCACATGAAATTTTAAGTAAAGAACTTACAGATTTCATAGTTTTAATTATTTATATATATACTATTCAAAAAAAGTAGGGGATATTTGATTTTTAAGTGTTATTAAAGTCACCTAATGAAACTGACGAAGAAACAAATGACAAAATGAAATGAAGTTCACATTCATCGATTTATTCCAAATGATCGTTAGACTAAGTAAGGCACAGACTGACCATTATAAGGGTAAAATGATACCCGGGGTCAAACAGCAAAGTTACCACAGCATCACAACCAAGTCAGTAACGGGTAAATCCTCCTCTGTTTGCCAAACAAGCATTGATCCGACGTGGCATACTCCTAATGAGACGTCTAAGGTCATTTTGGTCCAGATTGTCCCATTCCTGTTGCAACGCAGCAGCAAGTTCTTGGACATTGGCAGGACGTTGTTGACGTTGACGTAACCTCTGTCCAAGCATGTCCCAGACATGCTCGATGGGGGAGAGGTCGGGACTCAGTGCTGGCCAAGGTAATGTGGTGATGTTCTGTTGTTGGAGGTAACCTGTAACGATCCTGGCCCTGTGACATCTTGCGTTGTCATCCTGGAAGATGAAACGGCGGCCATGACGTCGTGCGAACGGCACAACATGGACTGCCAAGATGTTGTCCCGGTAGTACTGGCCTGTAACACGCCCTGCAACAACATGTAAAGCCGTTCTTCCAGCAACAGTGATGCCTCCCCACACCATAACAGAACCACCCCCAAATCGATCATGTCTGATGACGTTAACGTCTTGGAAGCGCTCGTTTCGACGACGCCACACCCTCCTACGTCTGTCCAAAAAATCAACAGTGAACCTTGACTCATCTGAAAACATCACATTGCTCCAGCGTCGATTATCCCAGTGTTGACGATCCCTACACCAACGACGTCTTGCCTGAATGTGATGATCTCTCAAACAAGGGATCACGCGAGGACGTCTGGCGCGAAGGTGACCCCTATGCAGTCGATTCCGAATCGTCTGGCCACTCACTCTCACACCAGTGTCTGTTTGAAGACGAGCGCTGATCTGATTTGCTGTGATGACACGATTTCTCAAGGCCAAGGTACGGATAAATCGATCCTGGGCTTGAGTTGTCGCCCTTGGTCGACCTGAGCGTGGTCTGTCCTGTACAGATTGTGTATCACGGTATCTGGACCATAGCCTGCTTATGACAGATTGAGAAACATTCATCGTCCGCGCCACAACCGCCTGTGTTGTGCCGATCTGTAGCATGCCAAGGGCACGTAACCTTTCATTTTGGGTAAGCCGACGCATATCAAAATTTGTTTTCTGGTCACTAAAACAATTAAACTGATGTTTCCACCCTGGAATTCAATGCCACAATGACTGTTACATTCAAAGTCAGAGTCGTGCAAATCTTGGGTTGGACCCCCATGATGATCCCAAGCATCACCTGCATTCCATGCGGTAGCTATTGGTGCGTTTGGGCGTCACATGTAACTGGAAATGTTTCTTCTGTTAGGTTCTATAGTGACTTTTTTCGTAGTCATTTGCATATTTTAGTATTATGCCCCCAAAATCAAATATCCCCTACTTTATTTGAAAAGTATATTATTATGAATAAATAGAAAATCTCCTACGAGTCTTTTTTGATATCAAAAAATATAAACACAAGTCGATAATGTAAAAAAAAAGAACGAGGCATTGCTTTTTTTTACTTATCGACAAGTGTTGATATTTTTTTTATCAAAAAAGGCGCGTAGGTTTTATTTATCACACAACCCTTTCCATCCTTTTTAACTGACCAAACAAATCCATGGAAAGCGATATAAATATGCCCCCTAGGAGATATCACACAGTAGAATATGAAAGTTATCACACATGCGATATCTACTGTAGAATGTGTTATTGGGTGATAAATGGACTTTCTGAACCACGAGAAAGAAATATGTCAATATAATCTTGGGAAAGTACATAATGTAACACTGAGAACGATCAACACCAAAATAATGATTTGATATAGAATAGGACTGGTCGATTCTTTCCTGAAAACGTGTAATATTATTGTTGGGTTACTGGGGGGGGGGGGGGTGCTCATCGCCATACTTTCCCCTGAATACAGAATACATATCTCATTTCTGACGAAAAATGTTATTGTTGTAGACCTCCCTTTTCCATCACCTGCAATGGTGTGGTAGTAGTAAGTAAAGCCTGCGTATTTCGGGACAATAGGCTTCTTGATTGAAAATGGGTTTCACGGTGGCTCTGTGAGTAAGACGTTGGCTCACATACCTGGAGGTCCCGTGTTCGATCCCTGCGTTGGAAAAGAAAGTGCATCTGGTTATCCGGCGTGCTTCCCCCTTGTCATTGGTGGAGGACAGAGGATCCCGTGTACACATTGACGTACACATACAAGATCCCTTGGTATAAATTGGAACTCGATATAAGAGTAGGTCATAGCGCCGCTGTCCGGGCAAAAGTTCTCTCATAGCACACTCTATGGCGTATGCCTGTCTTCGTGAGCCCAATCGAAGCATAACAGTAGAACGTTCCATTTCTTGGTTGAAAACCAAAGAAAGTGTTTTAAATAAGTTTATATTATCTACAAACAAAACATGATACAGTTTTATACATAAAATATTTAGTTAAACGCTTCAACGCGTAATCAGGTACTCTATATCATAATCTTCTATACCATATATAACCATAATAACCATTAAACCCAAATTGTGATGACATTACTAAGCACAAACATATAATCCACCACCGAAAACATTTATACTAATATTAGCTTAAAACCAAAACTATAAACTCACTAATATTCAAAATTCCAACTAATAAAGACACCCTTGTATAATTGCTTATGTGTGATGTGGTTCTCCTGTACTTAATATTATTGTGATGTATTGTATTACTTTATATCTACCTGTATATTATGAATGATATGATAATTATTAACCCATATAAAATTAACAAAAGTAATACTTTAGTCGAAGGCACTAAGAGGTTTTTATTCCGCTTTCATTTTCATATTTAATGAAATTGAAAATTTTGTTTTAGTCTTTATGTGCATGAAAAGGGCTAGAATCGCATGCCAAAATAGTACACTTATTGTTCAATAATGACGGCCATTCAGGACAGAGATCTATGCTCAAAGTAGACTGTCATCTGTGTATACCAGAATGGGCTTGTCATTGAGTCAAGTGGCTTAGTTTCGATCCCAAACTTCTACGTGACAACCTGTCCAACCTCGTAGGGGTTCTCCTGGACGACCGGCTTACCGAAGACAGAAGACCATTCTACTGCCGAAGACCATTACGCGCAAGCGAATTATTGAAACAAAACTGTACCATATTATGTTGCTTCGGAAATGACCTGTTTTGTATCGAGTGGACGTTAAACCTCATTCTTCCCTCTGTCGCTTCCCAATATTTAAAAAATAATCCCATTTAACACATTTTATTCTTTATCTTTTATCATCCAGGATAGATGATAAAATTTTTAAAATACCTGCAATATTGATAAAGAATCCCAAGTATGTAATCTTTCATTATCATTTTATATATATATATATATGTATACTTGTAGAAAAGACCATTACAAGACTAATAAAATTAAACACGCCTAATCTCAACAAAAGCTTCATATGTGTAGGCTAATAAAATAGAAGTAGTAGAAGTAGTAAATCCACAAATCTGTGTGTTATTATTAATCATAATTCCTAGTTTTTATTCCGAGAAGATATTTAAAAAAACAGAGTGCACCGTTCAATAATTTAAAAAAGTGCAGTCTCTCTAAATTTCGATTTGGTTTTATTTGGTCCCCCAGTGTTTGATCCAACCCATTTTTAGAGCCATTCTTTTTGGGCTCTAGGAGCTACACATAACAGAGGGTCTCCAGCAGACGGCCCATCTCAATATGTTCCTTTTTCGTTTGACCAAAATGTTCTGAGCTGCTGATAAGGATGACATCGATACGACTTAATGAGCCACAAATATTAACTTTTTTCCTCCGACAAATTAAATTCTAAAACATTTTTTTTTATGTATTAGAAAAATAAATAACGACGTTTGACGTATTTGTAGGTCAAAATTATTTCCTATTTTGTAAATGGGTATTAAAATGAGTAAAAGGCTCCATTCCGCCCGAACCAGTTATGTAAACAATACACGCGCCATTTAGCCAATGAGTGACGCCGCGTGATAAGGCGTCACGTGTTGGAGGTAGTCATCTTTTACAGAGATATTAGAAGACTTTCGTAATCTTCTCTGTTATACAGATTGGTTCAGATAAAGGCTATATAATAATTATATAGAAATGTTTTAGGTCCATTATCTAAGCGATCCGACGATAAAACAGCGTCCATGTATTGAGGTGGATTTTCTCGGGTGTCTAGGTATACGTAGTCAACATTATATAAATATTGCTTTCATGTAGAAACGAATTTTATTTAAGATAAAGCAATATTTATAGTGTAAGGCTACATGTTACCTAGACACTCGAGGAGTGCAACAAAATGTATTTCAATACGTTCTAATGGGTCTGAGTACGTAGGTACGGTCGACAGCAGTCGTTTTTCACTGTGGTCTGACCCCGAGTCTGATGAACGTGAATATCAATGAGAGTTACCTGTAGCCTCATTCTGGTTATCAAAATGTCTGCGCCCATGAAACGGGTGTCTCGTTAGTGAGATACACAACATTGCACAATTTAATATGAAAACGTGAAAAAAACATCTGTGTGTGTTCTATATATGGTGGAATTGTAGCACCTTTTTCGGATCGTGTCTGTAACCCACTAAAGTAAAAGTAAACTGACTCGTTCTATGTGTGTAGCCTTAAAAAGTTGCCAAAGAAAAGTTAGAGAAAGGGTTTTTAAATTTAAAATTAAATAAAATACACAGACGGAACGTGATAATGATAATGACAGTCGACCAAGCCAATGTAATATAATATTATTATAGGCTTTTGTTTTGTTATTACCGGTACTGTGTGAACCATCGTAAATTTTAAACGGATTTCTTCGATTATGAAAAAACTACTTAACTTTGGTTATTATAAACTTACCTGTGTGTTTGTAATCAACTCCCGTTGGATAAAATCCATTGCACAACTAATTATCACAACGATGAAAACAAGTTCTCTTTTGAAAAATTTGAAAATTTACTTGTAATTTCGACAGAGTCGATGTCAACAATGTCTTCGTGACGTATTGGTCGAATCCAATATAACTGTTGCGGGGGTTGGTTAACATTGAAAGATAGTTTGACAGCGCGATCCTTTTGATCGTATATGGGTTTGGGCGAAGAAAAATATCAATTGAAGGCAATTACATAGGAGATTTATATGGAAACCATTGATCGCCAGTCTATCAAATTTTCTTCACAATTAAAATATCACTGATTGCACGGATATTCGTAAAAATAAAGTCATATATAAACTAACAATATCCTATCTAACTTCTTTATGTTATAAATAATTGAACAAGGATCATGAAGCTCACCTCCGAATTCTCTGAGTGTATTTTTAATTTTATACGCATTCTTTCGATCGAATAATAACCGCTTCAGTAACATTTTTAAGCGTGTTGCGGCAGACCTCAGCGTGTCTATTGGGTGCCCGGGTGGATATATAATGCTACTATGCCCGTATGACCCCGTAAGAAGCGGAACATTAATTCTCGATTCGACAGTTTTGACCGAAGCCCGTAAAACGAATGTATAGTTGTGTTTGTGCGGCATGCGTGTTCAAAAGTAAATTATCCCATCCGAGTCGCTAATCAAATAATTAGAACAAAATATTTAAAAAAGTAAAGCTATAAAATTTGCAGAGATTTTACTAGAATGTAAAAGACGTTAACTAAATACAGGAATCAGGTAGTTATGTGTGCGAATGCTCAAACTCAATGCCAATTGTCGTAGGTATCCAGACCACTCGGACCAAAGACTACTCGGACTAAGAGAGAGAGAGAGAAATGGGGTTTAACATCCACTCGACACAAACTAGGTCATTTCGGGACTAACATGGTTTAATTTTATTTACATAATTCGCTTGCGCGTAGGGGTCTTTAGCAGTGGGAGGAAACCGGAGGACCCGGAGAAAACCCACGAGGTTGGACAGGCGACCCTACTCCTTGCCACGTACAACCGGGGATTCGAAACCACGCCAGTCGACTCAATGACAGACTTTATGATACAGCGCGCGCACGCTAACCATTCAGCCATCCAACCCCCCTCGGACTAAGACCAGTCGGACCAAAACAAGACCAGTCGGACCAATTAAATTATATTATAAGGCTAGACAATATGCTATTTATTTATTATTAAATCACAATACAAAGAAGCAAATAATTCTTATACGGAATTCTTATATTTAGAGTTGTTTATCAATTTTGTGTACGGAAAATAAATCAACGATTAGTTTTAAAATTAATTAATAAAGGTGCCAAAAAAAAATATCAATCTAATTTTTCTTATTTACTCTTGCAATGAGACTTGGTATGTCCAGACTTTTGACAGTTTCTACATATACGGGTATACTGTTCTTATCTGATAGCCTAATTTTACTTTTTCCACATTCGCGGTATCCCCAGTGGTTTCATTCCGTTTTACCCCACTAACCCCTGGGTTTATATATATAGGGGGAGACACGTTTTCAAGTTATCCACCCTTGATGCGTTAATATATACAGCACATAATAATACAAAGACCGGACGTTTATATGCCCCTTTTTAAACGTGACTAGAAGTGTGGTTCTCGATATTTTGCGATTTGGGATACAATTATCAATTTATTCAAACAACACATTATTATTAGTTCGAGTAGTCATATTAAAACACACGCAATTAGCAATTTATTCAAATAACACTTTATTATTGGTTCGAGTAGTCATATTAAAATAAACACAATTATCAATTTATTAAAATAACACTTTATTATTGGTTCGAGTAATCATATTAAAACAAACGCAATTATCAATTTATTAAAACAACACTTTATTTGTATAGTCTTTTTGTATGGTCCGAGTAGTCTATTTGTTTGGGCTGAGTGGTCTATCAGTTGGTCCGACTGGTCTTGAACCAAGTGGTCTTTGGTCCGAGTGGTCATGGATTCTTGTCGTAATTGTACTTGAATTTCCTATGCTGTCACCCCTAATACGAAATGATATCTTCCGCAGAGTGACGTAACCATCTTCCATATTGGTATTTTTCTCTGGGAAAAGTTTGTGATATTTCAATTTTTCAAGAGAGAACTTGTTTTCATCGTTGTGATAATTAGTTGTGCAATGGATTTTATCCAACGGGAGTTGATTACAAACACACAGGTAAGTTTTTAATAACCAAAGTTAAGTAGTTTGTTCATAATCGAAGAAATCCGTTTAAAATTTACCAAGACTCAGACAGTAGTTTGCCCGGCTCTAATTTATATGTTTTTAATTCGCAGCTGACTGACTAAGAGCCAGAGGGATTTAACATTGAGTCACAACATTACAACTAACATAACATTATCAAGATGTCGGTTTATATGAATGTCATTTTAGAGAACTTGTATTTGGGAAGTGTGGAGAGCTCAAAAGATACAGAAAAATTAAATGAACTGGGAATAACTCATATATTAACTGTTGATGTTCAAGCATTATTTCAAGAAACATGTGATACATTTGTTACGAAGCATATTAATTTACCTGATTTAGCTGAAAGTGATCTCCTGACCTATTTTGAGGAATGCAATGAATTCATTAATGAAGGCAGAGAGAAAGGCAGTGTTCTTGTTCACTGTTTTGCAGGAGTGTCCCGCAGTGCTACACTAGTGTTAGCATATATTATGAACAAATCAAATATATCTTTTGATGAGGCTTTATCTATTGTTAAAACACAAAGGCCTATTGTCAGTCCAAATGAAGGCTTCAAACAGCAACTGCGTTTGTATGAAGGAATGGGTTGCAAAATTGATCCTCAGAGTAATTCTTATAGACAGTATCGTCTGATTAAACTTTCTAGAGCAATTCAGGCTGGAGTGTATCAGGGACAGATACCTGATGATGTGTTAAATAATCACATAGACAATCGTCCAAATCTAAATGTATACAAATGTAGAAAGTGTCGTCATACGTTGTTTAAAAGTAGTTCTTTATTATCTCACTCGGTTGGTGCTGGGGAATCCTCATTTGACTGGAGATGCAAATTGGGCAGAGAAAATGGAGATGGAGCAGTCACTGTGACAAAAGATGACACTCCATGTGATCAATCGTTATTCATTGAACCTATGAAATGGATGTTAAGTTATCTAAAAAATATGGATGGGAAAATTCCATGTCCAAAGTGCTCAGCTAAATTAGGTTCTTTTGTTTGGTATGGTGAAAGGTGTCCATGTGGGACATGGGTTGCCCCAGCTTTTCATATTCAGGCATCTAAAGTTGATGTTTGTGTGACAAATCTTCGTCTTAGATGATACATGTATAAATAAACTGCTTAAAGGGCGTACATGTATGGCTCTATTCTTTGGAACCTTAAAATAGACGAAAATATATCTAAAAGTATATATTAATGTGATATAAATGTATATAAAGTGATTTATATTCAACTAATGAAAACAAATTATTTTTATTTCTAATAAATTATGTTCAAAATTATTATTTTGTCATTTGTGAATTGGCCATTACTAATTACTTCCGCATTGTCTTGTATAAGTTTTTCTTTGTTCATTATAAATTGCGCCAGAAACCATAGAATACATGACTCATGTAGTAGCATGTACTGATTATAAAGCGTTTAACATTGTGTCTTAAATACATGTAGGATCTCATATTTTCAAGGCAAGATAACAAAGTCAATATTGATTTCAAATGGACCAATATTGAATTCTAATTCATGGTTTGTAATTTCGAATATTATGGAAAATATTGAGTTTGAGGTTTAGCTCCTTTAATTGTCATTTATGTGTTTACTTTGTTAAGTATAAATGGAAAATGTTTTCAAACTGTCAGGACAAGTATATTTAGACTTTCAGAACATATCTATCAATATGTATCCAAACACAATGAAGTAACAGTACACTGAATTTGTGCCGAGTGTTAAAAGATTAGTGATTGAATATACATGTGTTGTAACCTTTTATGCAAGGTGTATACAACATTCTATTTTCTTGTTCATTTAGCAAAAGGTTATGCTTTCAAAAGTATGCTTTAGAATCAATGACCCAAATGCATGTACATGTAGGCCTACATACAATGTACCAGTATACTGAAATAGTACCGGAAATTTAGAACTTTGTACCTGAATAGCAATAAAGACAAATCTGTGCATGACAAAATGACAAGAACCAAAGGGATTGCACCTGACAAATTGTGCATAATACATGTGGCAGGTACCTTACTGTATTTCCAGGCTTGCATAGCATATACATGTAAAATAAAAATATGGCCTTTTAGTGGTGGTTCAAGAAAAGAAAAGAAAATATTGCACATTTATTTGTACTAGATATTCATACAAATCTAGATTACAGCTATCTGAAAATAGTATTACATGTACATATAGAAATGTAATGAGAAGGGGAATTATTGCAAATGGATAAGTAAATGAAACCATGTATATGTACTATTTATATTAATACATTGTCAGTTGAAAATTATATTTAAACCAAGTTTCTTAATTATTTTTTTCTTGTCTGAGATATCACTTTGATGGAAGCGGACGTTAAATAAAGCTATTTCACACACACGCCTTTTTTTGATTTAATTGATAATGAATAAATGGAGATAAGGACTTTTTTCAGTTATTTGAATTTCTTCATAATAGATACAGGTACATCCTATTCGAGGGGGGGGGGGGCAGGTGATTTGTGGTAGTGATACATGTATGTCTCATGTCCTATTATGAAATATTGTATCTTCAATCCTAAAGTACATGTACTATCACAACTCAAAGTCCAAGTATACAAAATGGCAAATATAAAATAGTAGGCCTATATGGACTTTACCAGACCGACCATCTTACATTGTAAGCCGAATGGTTAACGCATGGTCATTACATCGTAAGGTCTGTCATTCAGTCAAGTGGTTTAGTTTCGATCCCCGCTTGTACGTGACAAGGAGTAGGGTCGCCTATTCAACCTCGCAGGTTTCATCATGGTCCTCCGATTTCCTCCCACTGTTAAAAAACCCAATCCGCAAACGAATTAATGAAATATAATTGAACCATGATATGTTAGTCCCGAAATGACCTAGTTTGTGCCAATTGGATGTTGAATCACATTTTTCTTTCTCTCAATAACCATCTTACATTGTAAGCCGAATGGTTAACGCATGGTCATTGCATTGTAAGGTCTGTCCCGAAATGACCTAGTTTGTGTCAAGTGGATGTTGAATTGCATTTTTCTTACTCTCAACACAGTACATGTTAACATGCGCTTTAGATTATTTGGTTTGTCACTGCATCAAGTGGCTTGCACGTGACAAGCAGTAAGGTCATCTGTCTAACTTCATGGGTTTTCTCTGTTCCTTTGGTTACCTCACACTGCTAAAGACCCCTAGTCATAAGCAAATTGTTGAATTATTTTGTGTCGAGTGGATGTTAAAGCCATTTCTCTCTCTATATTGGGCTTTATAAAGATCAACCATGAAAATAAAACCGAAAAGAGTTGGTAAATTTTAAAGTTACAACAATTATCCTAATCTAGGCGCTGGACCTTATTCGTGAGTGGAAATGAATGATTTGCCAGCATTTTTTCCCTTTGTGAGAGACATTGCATGAAGTCTTGATGCGTGAGCTTAAAGGGTGTAGGTATTGCACAGATCACACTGATATACATGTAGATTGCAGGAAACGGAAAATTCCCCAAAACCCACTGTCCAAAGCCTGTCTTCTGTAAACTTTAATTTTATCTATCCTGGACTGCTTAATGGAATTTAACCGAATTTACTAATATTTAGAGCTTATAAAGAATAAAGACTCGCTCAAGTGAAGTTAATAAAGCATCTTAACAGACTTAGGGTATGGTTTAATAACATGATTTTCTATTTCCTGCAACTTACTCCCAAGTCACTAATTATACATGACAACTAAATCAATATACATGTAGTTGCAAGCAATTCCAAGCATAAACAGTTCTAAATTTATTCATTTTTAAATTCTTTTATTTAACTACTGCTTGTGTGATGCGTAATCAGATTTGTTCAAATGAGATTTCCTGTCCCATATGGTTGGTAAAGGGTACTTTAGAGGGTCAATTTACACATCAAATATGTATTTTCAATGTTTTCCCTAAACTAATGGACAGATTTTAACCAAAGTTAGACATGTTGCATGTTGCTTGGTGATGATTATTTATATTTCTTCAAATGAAGTTGCACATCCTCAATTAATAGGGCACTTACCCATCTATGCATTAGTGGATTATGTCCACCTTATGGCAGTTGAACCCTAGCTTAATGAATCTCAACTAAATTTAAAAGGTACATTACTTGGATGGTGTGTATTTGGGTTTATTTAAATTAACTTGATCACCCAAACTTTGTTTAAGATGAATTTGATACAGTCATTGTGTTCAGGATGGGAGGTGCCTTAAAGGTAAAATATAGACAGCATGGATGGGGGTTGCTAGGGAGCAGACGTAAAAAAAATTAAAAAAAGTAATTTATGTACTTTTATTGCAAGCTAGCAATAACAATGTGTAAGCCACTTGTACCGTTGAATATTATCTGCTTTTTCAGGAGTCATGTGTGTACCAAACAAGAATCTTATCGACAAAGATATAAAACCAGCTGTGGTTTCTTAAACTTAGGACGATGTACACGTCATAGGTAAGTATCTTTCTTTTATGCACATTAACCGTCCAAGTTGTAGTAGTTTGTGAAATCGTACTGGGAGGGTGGGTGGCTATGGTTTTTCTCTATTAAACGTGGGGTGGTTGGATGGCCGAATGGTTAGCATGTGCGTACTGTATCATAATATCTGTCATTGAGTCAACTGGCGTGGTTTTGAATCCCCGGTTGTATGTGACAAGGAGTAGAGTCGCCTGTCCAACCTCGTGGGTTTTCTCCAGGTCCTTCGGTTTCCTCCCACTGCTAAAGACCCCTATGCGCAAGCGAATTATTGAAATAAAATTAAACCATATGTTAGTCTTGAAATGGCCTAGTTTGTGTTGAGTTGAAGTTAAACCCCATTTCTCATTTTCACTGTATGGTTTGTCATTGCGTCAAGTGGCTTGTACGTGGCATCCCAGATGTCACAATCTGTGTATTACTAAATGTGACCTATAAAGTAGTCTTCAGATTGAAATGAAATACATGTAGTGTATAGAATCGAAGAGTAAAACAAAATCAGTGGGCTGACCCCATCCCACTTTTGCCTCCAGTGTTTGTTGCTATTTCGTTTCAGCTCCTGTTGATCTGCAATCTGATGAAAATTAAATTTCAGTTATTTTTTTCGGTTTAATTTTGATACTACATGTACATGTATATTGACATCTGTCTTCGTTAGTCTTGTTGATGCAAACAAATAGGACATTAAGCACCATTTCATCTTGACATCTCTGTCTTCGTTAAGCCCCATTGTATTTTATATTGACATCTGACATATTTGCTTTGAAGACAGTGTTCAGATCTCAGGACTTTCTAGACTAATAAAATTTTCTGTATTGGTATACAGGTCTTGTTTTGTGGTGGATTGTGGAGATTTTAAATTTGGGATATAAAATGACTTATTAAACTACATGAACTGTCGTGTAGTGTAAAAATCAGAAAAAGTAAACTAAATGAATTGTATCTTATTTTAATTAGATTTTGTTAATCCACATATTCCACATACCAACATTAAAGATACATTATGTAAGATTGAGATAAAGAGCTAGCCATTCTTGCTATAATAGTTCGAAAATAGGTAATGTAAAATGAATAATTTGAAAATTTCATTCAAATCACTCTATTGCGAGCGAAGATATTAGCCTTTGAAAATTTGACAAGACGTGTGCAATAATTTCAACCATCCTACTGGTTGTTCGAAGCTAAGTCTCACTCCTCCATTTTTAGCTTAAATCAAAATATGGTGAACTGTTTAATCTATTTAATATCGGAGAAATCCGATACCATCAAGAGTTGATTATGGTCTGGATAAGTTAATTAATGTCTAATCAATAATTTAGAAAACATTTCAGGCCTGAAGAAAGACCTGCAAATAGGCATATTTAGCTCTTGCATAATGTATGTTTAAGAAATGGCAATAATTGCAGAAGTTCTTAAATTGAACTGAATATTGCAAAATGCATGTATGTAGAAAATTAAAATGAATTATATTTTAAATAACAGCATGTTTATGTATTTTCAGAACAAAGTACAAGTCTGTAAGTTTTTGTTGTTCAGGATGGAGGTCCAAAACTACAGGTTTAGCCTGCGATATGGGTAAGGTGGAATTCATTTTTATACATCCACAATGAAATAAGGTCGTATATTGTTGTCACCCCCGTCGGTCTATCCGTTTATATGTCCGTTGGTCTGTCATCCACAATTGCTTGTAGTCGCTCTAGACTAGAGGCTAAAGTTAATATCCGATTGACTTTAAATTTATACACAGTGTTTAAGGCCATGAGATTAAGAAGTTTATCGATTTATTTAACTATTTCCGATAATCAGTGCAAGAGATATTGCCCATGATCACTTTGAAAATTCTTTTGGACAGTTTAAAGTTAATATCCGATTGACTTTATATTTATACACAGTATTTAAGATCATGAGACGAAGAAGCCTATTGATTTTCAAGGATTTATGATAATGTTGTCGTATATTTTTGTCACCCCCCATCGGTCCATTGTCCCAATTGCTTGTTGATGCTCTAGAGGCTGAAGTGAATATCTGATATACTTCAACTTGATACACAGTGTTTATGATCAAGGTAAAGAAGCCTATTGATTTTCAACAATTTCTGATGATTAATGCCTGAGTTATGACTATGAGGCGAAGAAGCCGATTTCCGATAATTACTGTCAGAGTTATAACCCTTGACCTCTGAATATTCTTGTTCACGCTCTACAGACCAAAGTTATCATCCGATTGATTTTAAATTTATACATAGTAGTTCAGTCAAAGTAAGTGTTGACCTAGAACAAGGGTTTCTTGGTATCCGTGTGATCGTGGGATCATCCTCTACAACATATCCAAAGTTCTCTAATGTTCAGTTCAAGGGAAAGGGCCTAATTTACAGAAATTCAAAATGTACCTTTGTAGTCTTATAACTCCTTTAATATTGAGTTTTTGCCTTATAAAATTATTACAGAAATTATGTCAGAAATTATCATAAATCAACTCCATGACGTGATCACGTCTTATTTTGACTTTAAATGATGTCAGCATACAGTTTGCAAAAAAATGACTGAGATCCTTGGAAGAAGGTAACCAATAGAACTTTAAAATTACAGTGTAGTCCTGAATTGTCCCATTTCTTTTAAAGTCTTAGTAGTTTATCATATGTCCCAAATAGTATTTATCTGTTTATCTGTTTATCTTTTTCAAACACTTTTCTGGGCTTAATTCACTGCCCCTCCCCATCCACAAATGCGCATGAGGAAATTTAGTGAAAAGGTAGTGAAAAGCTTTCTCCTGCGTCCAGATTCAGAACTTACCCCTGACTCCAGATGTTGCAAAGTATCATGGTTTCGTGTGTACTACCAGGTGCAGTTGTGGATGGGGAGGGGCAGTGAATTAAGCCCAGAAAAGTGGGGATGGAGACTTGAGAAAGACAAGTTAGAACCCAAAACAATTGACTCCATACCAGCTTTGGTGACAATCCTCAAAAGAATCTACTGTGGCTGTATTGTATAATGTGGCACAGCAAATAAAGTGCACCAGTAAGCAACACAGTTTGATGCTTTGGGATACAATAACTTTAGTTCTAATTTAGTAAGAGTGATCAAACTTGGTGTATAGTTTCATTACATCAATACCTTGACTAAGTTTGATAATGAACATTCTCTGCTCAGGGTAAGCAGAGCGATAAGCAATTTGATTGGTCGAGACTTTGGAACACAATAACTCTCAACCTAATTGAGCTAGAATGTTCACACTTGTCGTAAGTGTTTATTAGGTGAATGTCTTGATGGAGTATAAAGATGAGAATTTTCTGTTTAGGGTAAGCAGAGATAAGCAATTTGATTAGTTGATGCTTTGGGACATGATAAGTTTAGTTCTAATTAAGTGAGAGTGAGGACACTTGGTGTATAGTTTTATTATACCAATACCTTGACAAAGTTCGATAGTGAGCACTTTCTGCTCAGGGTAAGCAGAGCGATAAGCAATTTGATTGGTCCAGACATTGGAACACAATAACTCTCACTCTAATTGAGCTAGAATGTTCACACTTGGCGTAAGTGTTTATTAGGTGTCAATAGGTGAATGCCTTGATGGATTTCGATGATGAACATTGTCTGCTTATGGTAAGCAGAGATAAGCAATCTGATTGATTGATGCTTTGGGGCACGATAATTTTGGTTTAAATGAAGTGAGAGCGAAGTGACTAAGTTTGATGGTGAGAATTTCTGCTTAGGCTAAGGAGCGATAAGCAATTTGATTGGTCAAGACTTTGGAACATAACAACTTTGCTTTTAATTGAGGTAGAATGTTTACAATTGATGCAGATGTTTATTAGGTGGATGTCTTGACTGAGTTCAATGATTAACAATTCGAGCTAAAGCTAAAGCAGAGCTAAGCAATTTCATTGGTCGATGCTTTGTGACAAGACAACTTTGATTCTATCTGATAGAGAGTGATGAAAAATAAAAACAATAAATAAAATGGCTGGTTTTTCGCTTTGTGACATGAAATGAAATGGGTTTAATGTCCTACTGTTCTACACCAACTGGGTTAATGAGGATGAGCATATGCCATACAGTGCGCTATGAGGAAAGTTTTGCTCAGACTATGGTACTACGGCCTACTCTTATTAAGAATTCCAACTGTCTAGAAAATTCTGAAACATTAAGTACTGTTTTCTACTGTTTGTCATCAAAAAATTTAGTTTAGTATTTTAGTTTACAAACAATAACATGCTCGAACTTAGTTTACTTACATAAACATTGCAAAACAAGCACTCAGTGGTACAGTTAGTCTGCTTGAGTATATCATGATACAGAATATGTGTGTATTTCTGATTATTTTCTTGTGTTTAATTTTTTGCAGCAATCTGTGATAATAAAATCGAACCAACAGCATGTGATAACACTTTCTCTAATTCACATATTATATATGGCGATGGTTCTGTACAAAGAAGTGTTTCAGGTACATGTACCAACCCAAATGTGTGTAATTGTGGAAAACAAGGCTTTTATGCCACAAGTGGAAAATGTCTAAGTAAGTATATTTATATTGATCTTGTAATGATTATTATGTACTCCGATCTTTAATAAACAATAGACTTTCCTTAAATAAGTCACATACTAAGAGCTGTATGTGGCGATCTTAGCTAAAATCTTACCTTGTTGAAATATTAAAATCAAATTATGTGTTAGAGGGTTAGAGACAGATTGAAACCAAATACTTGATATATAGTTGTTTAATGTTAAATATTTTCATTCTGTTATATTAAAATCAACAAGCAATCAAAATTGCTAAAGCATGACTTCAGATCAAGTAAGACCACTGCATATACAATCCTAGATATTGCAAGAATGTTTACTCTACATATAGCTGGCATTTGGACAAAATGGACATTTGAAGCAGGGCAGTAAATATCACTTAAAGATGGACTTTAAGCGAATGGTCATTTTTAGTAGAAGAAGATAGTAGCGTTAAAGGAAAACTGATATTGAAATGCACAAGCTGAATGCAAGTCAGTTTGTGATGTCTTCAGAGTAACTGTCAGGAACTAGTTAAAAACAAAACAATGTTGTCTTGCTATAACAGGTAGTCTCTGTATTCTCTGTACACTTGTGGTTTGTGAATACGCATATTACTCTAGTATGTTGTTAGTATAAACACAAAGCTATATTGCCTGCTTATAAATGCATTGATTTCCTTTTAATTGACATAGTCAAGCCACTGTTGTTCCATGTTGATAGATGAAACATTGTGGGCTTGGTAAAAACTTATATCAGATACCATACTAATACCTTGGTCTGTATTTTGTTCTAGTGTGTAACGCGATCAGCTTCTGTAATCTAGAGACATGTACGTCTAGTAATAATCAGGTATGTGTCAAGTGTGAAGGTGTGCTGGATGAAAAGGCTGGTTTTAGAGCTTATAAAGTATCAGCAAATAAAAAAGCATGTGATAGTAAGTTATTTATTCATTATTCTTAAAATGACTTGACAGCTGGGCTGTTTTGGGGGTTAAAAATAATAATGTCAATTTCATTTGATTTTAGACATTGCTGTGTGGAACAACAATCTGTATTTGCTGGACTGTTTGTCCGTCCACAATTTTTATCGGATTTTAAAAAACATTTAAAATATCACTGTTATACCATAATGAATGTTGAGCTTGAATTTCGGGAAAATCGAAACAAAACTTGCTGCTCCTTGCACACAAATAGAGTAAAAAATATGTAATACAAAGGTTGTTGACCCGCTAGAGGTCACAATTTTTGTCAGATTTTGATGAAACTTAAAATGTATGTTTATATCCCAAAGATCCCTGTTCCTTTCAATATTCGTACATTTCAGATCATAACTTCCTGGATTAGGACCCCTGATTGTGTGAAAAAGAACATTTTTATTTTTTTAGCTTGTTCTCTATCCATCTCTTGCAAAATGTGGACTCTCTTGCCTGGCAACCGCTGGTTAAATATATATATAAGCAATATGTTTATTGAACTTCTGATATGAAGTATTCTGTCCATATACAACTCTTCGTAAAATTGATTGATAGACATGTTGGGGCAACTCAAGCGAATGTTTGCTGATAATAATTCAATGATTTTGGTCTGTATAGTACTAGGAGGGTTGGATGGCCGAATGGTTAGCATGTGCGTGCTGTATTATAAGGTCTGTCATTGAGTCAACTGGTGTGGTTTTGATTCCCCGGTTGTACGTGACAAGGAGTAGGGTCGCCTGTCCAACTTAATGGGTTTTCTCTGGGTCCTCCAGTTTCCTCCCACTGCTAAAGACCCCTACACGCAAGCAAATTATTGAAATAAAATTGAACCATGTGTTCGTCCCGAAATGACTAACCCCATTTCTCTCTCTCGTTTAGTACTACTTGGTTTTAGCACATACAGATACAATATTTGCTTTATTATCAGATCACCTTGTAATAAAAATGTGTTTCTAAGGTAATTATGGAGCCAATTTAGTTCTGTTAAATCCATGACCTTAAAAGAAATTGAGTATAACTAGAATAAAAATAAACAAATAAATATAATTATTTCAGAGGCATGTTCATGGCGGTCTAGTAGTACCCCATGTTATCCAGGAAGCTGCCCAACGGAACTAGCAAATAGCTGCAGGTGTACATCAGGGTTTACTGGAACAAGATGTGAAAGGAGTAAGTGTTAAGTAGACAATTTAATTTTTCATAACAAATGAATATATTTATATTTTTTTTATTTATAACATATCTGATAACACCAGCAACATTAACATTTATGTTTAATATTAAACATTCATTATGCAAGAGCTAAATCTGCCTATTGGAGGTCTTTCTTTAAGCCTGAAATGTTTTATAAATTATTAATAAGACACTAATTAACTTACCAAGACCATAATTAACTCTCGATGTCATCGGATGCCTGCGATATTTAGTAGATTTAAATACGTTTTTTGGTGGATGCCGTTACTGTAAAAATGGATAATTGAGCCTTTGTTTATTATTATGACAACGATAGTAATGACAATCGAGGCTAGCCTAGAATTGTATCGCTAATATCAAGGCTCAGAATGAAGTAATTCTATTTTTTAACTATTTTAGCGAGAATTGTAAGCTCTTTATCTAATCTTACCTAATGCCGCTTTAATGGCCTAGCCTAGAATTGTATCGCTAATATCAAGGCTCAGAATGAAGTAATTCTATTTTTTAACTATTTTAGCGAGAATTGTAAGCTCTTTATCTAATCTTACCTAATGCCGCTTTAATGGCCTAAATTGATTTCAAACTTTAGTTTAATTATTAACTAAACTGTTGAACAAAAACATCAACTTTGAATAGATAGGGGGTCAATAGATTTGGATACAAGATTGATCAAATATTTTTTTACCTATCCAGATAAACTGGAAGTAGTCTCCTGTGTGAGAGAATTATAGATTTGGTCTAATATATGATAGTATGGTATGATATACCAGAGAAAATATTCTGTTAAATAAAAATGTAACCATTTTGGTAATCTGTACAACTATATATGAAACAAACTCTATGGCAAAAAAAGGGAATAATGGTGCATCGGTCCACCAAGAAAATAATATTCTTGATGATCATAGAACATCATGCTGATTGGAATACAAGTTAACTTGGTAAGTATGGTAATAGAAACGGTTAACTTGTCAACAAATGGTACTGTGTGACCATCACCGGGGAAATTTTGTCACAGTTGTGATGACCAAAGTTCAAAAAACAAGATGACATCATTAGTATTAGATGCACTAATTTATGATTTGTAATTAATATCTTTATAGTTACGGTGAGACCAAATATTTTGGAGAATATTGCAACTTTGAAAGCGAGTAATGGAGATACAACTGATGCTCCACCTGATACTAATAAAGCATCAAGTCAAGATACTGTATGGACCAACAATGTTAACCCCACCAGTCTTAATTATAGATTTACTGCTGAATACCAACCTCAAGTACCTTCTCGTCAAGCATATATCAATAATTTTAAAGTTGGTATTATTGGTGGTAGTTTACAGATTGCAAGAGGTAAAACTTCAAAATCTTTCCTGCTTCCTCACATCAGAGTGCTTCTTGCTGCTTATCACATTTCCTTCCATTGCCCAGTTTTATCTTTTGGGTGACAAATAGGGATCCTTATTTGATTAGATTTGAAATGTTGATTTTTTTTGTGCTATATATAGGATATTAACCTACCCGAGGTTGATATGATAGAGAACAGGCGGGCAAAGCCCAAGTGTTCTCTATCATATCAATCCGAGTGAGAGTAGGTTTATATCCGACATATACAACACCATTTCATGCTGAAATTTAATGGGCTCTTCCATTAAAAGACAACAATGATTGGATAATTGCTCTATAGATTCCGCCAAATAGTGAAAATTACCAAAGTAATCACGTGAATGTACGTGCATGTTTTTGTTTATACGTTTCCATTTTGGAGTAATTGAATTGAAAGCAAAAACAAAGTGGATAGTAATACGAAATCAGACGAATAATCAATCCTTTTTAGTCAACATATTGACGATGGAATAGATGTGAATGCAAATATCAATGAGAATCTATTCAAAGCCTGAAGAAAATTTGGATCGAAAGGCAATCTTTTCCGATAATTCTGACAGTGAACCGTGATTGAAGGTTTTCTGTATGTTCAGAGAAGGATTTGACCAACTGTTTTAGGTGAACTGTACCCAAAAATACTTTACAAAGGAACTCTTGGGCGATAAATACTTTCAAGTCTTGGAGTGTGTGGAGAAATAATCGAAATGTGGACAGAAAGAAAAATCTGAAAGATATCTTAGACATGGAGAATGGATAACCGATTTAAATATGCCGATAAGTACGCCGTCTATTTCGGTCCTAAATGCTACAAACTGTACCATAACAATTTTTAATTGTCAAAAGAATAAAAATTTATTTCTGTGTTATTTGTATTATTTCGATCATCTACGTCATCAGCGGTTGATATGAGCCGAATATATCAAGATGAGATGATGTCATTAGCGATTGATATGAAATATCAACCTGTCATGACTTCATCACCGGTTAACCGAATATATCAAGCTATGATGACGTCATGACAGGTTGTTATGTGATAAGCTTATAACTGCTATGGACATCAAAGAAAAAACTACCGCCAGTTGTATATGGAGATATACCAACATCAAACTGAGTTGAGTTGGAAGAACATGTCTATAAATCAAGAGGGGTGTGTAGTAACTAGTTACGTTCCGATATACTTCCTAGGGTTTAAAGGGGCGAGGGGTTCTATCGAGTTGCAGAATTTCCATGTTATTGTTGCATTTTATTTACCGTGTGGTGAAGGTTACAAATGGTATAGAATTTTATAAGTTACTCTCACTGGCTGTCAATAAACTGATGATATTTCCAAATGCTTAAAATGGTCCAATATTTTTAGCTGAAACTTTTTTAGGGGACCTTGTCTTTAACCATAACATCATATTTCCTAGATTTGGGAAGAGACAGGATTATAAAATGTTAATGTTTCAATTTGTTATCTTG